AAGATCTTAGAGAATCAAAACTTGATATGGACAAATCTTAGAGATTAAATCTTGATATGGAGAATATCTTCTTGGAAATCCTCTATCATTCAACACATTTTCTTAAACAATTATCCATGTAATGCATCAATCTTTCTCCAAATTAGCCAGGTCAAAGCTTCTCCACCTCAAACGCTATAATACAATTGCTACAAGAAAATGGCAATCAGATTTAGTGGGTCTCGTCTCTTGAAACTTTTTGTTAACTGATTGTGGGCTGTTCGTCCAGAAACTTAACAATCAAAGTAGAGATTTGGAAACTTATAAAGAGAATTCCTTTCGAGGAAAAAAAACAGAGAGGGAGGGGAGGGAGATGATACGTACATGGAAGCAATGACGGAGAGAAACTTGGACAACCATGTTTATGTAAAATGCATGTCTAAGGAAAGATAATTAGGAGGGAGATGGAAAAATCAAAGACAAGGCTTTGAGTTCTTAACTCTGAAAGACTTGTATGTTCCAGCTGGCACTCCTGCCCTAAAGTTGATCGGAGTGAGAAGCCCAAGAGATCACAACTCTAGCTTCTGAAGAGGTGAGCAACCAAATTCCTCATGCTTGCTTAAGCTGAGAGAACAATGAGGAATTGAGATGCTGGAAAAGAGGAAACGTAAATCTTTGCTTGCTTTGTTCACATTTTCAACACATAAGGAGAGTGGATTTTTGATACTGCTGGCAAGTAAACAATGACAGTATCATCAAAGATTTAAAGGATGATAACTATCTTGCTTTCAGCCGTTAATACTAAGAGAGCAACATTTTTAATTCATTTCTCAACCAGGACAAGAAAGAGGAAATATTAACTAAGTGATGCTTCTGTTACGTCTGTCTCGCCAACCATTTTCTCATCTCTCTTTTTGCTTTTCTACCATCTTCTATTTTAGTGCCTCATGCACAAATTCTTCATTAACTTGGAGATTTTAGTACTACTGATAGAGTACGACATGCTAATATTTTATCGTAATGTGTTGTCATATCTACCTACATACATGCTTTTTCCATACTAAAAAAATGATTATACCCTTTACAAAGGATGTTTAAAACCTTACGCCCTTAGGTTATTCAGGTACTCTTGTTATGGAAGTACCTCTTATGACTATCTACTATGAACCTTATGGACTATGGGAGGTACTAACTAGTGACCTATAGAACTATAGTATCTTGCTTATTCCCCAGTGTTTATTCATTGTTGTTCGTAAAGCAAGAGGGGTGGAGCAATTTTATGTCCCATTGACCATATCATTGTTAATATGCTCCCACGTGTTGGTAGTTCACTTACAAGAATTAAATTTAAATATCATAGCTAATATTAGTCACTATGCACCTATGACCTGTTTCAACGTACATTAAATTAAGTACGTCAATAACTTGACTCACCTATAATAAAGTGCATAATAAGTTGGTTGGAAGCATATTGATAAATCTGTGGCAAAAATTCACTGTAAAAATAGTTTCTTCCATTAATATCCATGTCTTTTCATGGATTAAAGCTGGAATGGATTTGGAGTTGGAGAAGTTGGTGTAGGGGCTCCTGTTTTATGTTGAACTGGTATTGACAAAAACAGTGATTTTGTATATTTGTCTTTCAAGCATCTTCCACATAGTTTTGGTTTTGTTCATGTGTGTGTTAGAGAGAGTGAAAACTTCAGATTGATATGGCTATGTAACTATGTGACAACTAACATTGTGCTCAATTAGGTGAAGGAAGGAGGAGGTGTAGGGAAGTAAAAGAAGAAGGATGGGGGCATTTCCAGTGTCTGGCAGAGAAATAGTGGAGGAATATGCAAACTTGAATTTAGTGTTCTGAAGCCCTTTGTGACTTGGAAAGGAAGGAGGAAATAGGAGGATGTTTGAGTAAGTTTAAAAGTTGGTCAAACTAGTTTTTAAGCACTTCTTGGCTAAGTTGTTCGGATTCTTCACTTTCAGTGTTGCACTCGTGTCGACATGACATGGGTGTGGGATTCGTACTAGATTTGGTCAATCAATTTTGGGTACTTTGACCGAAATCGAATTTAGATCATGAAAGACCCGATCTCTAGATCCGTATTGGACACCCGCACCCGAGTCCGAGCAACTTAGCTTCTTGGCTTATTTTGGTGTTTGGTAAACTCAAAAGTGCTTTAAAGCCAAAATATATAAGTTGGGCCACCGCAACTTATGGCCCTTTAGCTTAAATGATCTTTAGGTTTTATTGAGTATTTTACTTTGTTTTCCCTTACGTTCTTTTATAATCATAAATACCCTTTGCTACACCAAAAGCGCTAACTCCACCCCGAAGGTGTTAGGGATGACAAAGTAAAATACTCGGTCAAACCCAAAGAGTTTTTAAGTTGAAAAGCCACAAGTTTTAGCTTATGGCTTTTTTTGGTGGAATAGCATTTGTCTTAGGAGCACTTTTGGTGTTCACTAAACACCAAAATAAGCCAAAAATATGCTTAAAAGCTTGTCAAGACAAAAATACTAGGTGTTTTCTTCTCATTCATCCCAGCGATGATGGATAGAATTACTTAGTACCCGTTGCTGGTGGGGCAGGTATCTTGTGGAATTAGTCGAGGTGCACACAAGTTGACCCGGACACCAAAGCTTATTAAAAAAAGTGTTCTTGGGTACCCCAAGCATCCTATAAGGTTTGGTTAAAGAAGTATTCTTATTTTCTTTCCCAGCAAAAATTGAAGTGCTTCAAGTATATGCCTATGTGGATATTAATTATTCAAGAGAATAAAAGATTTCAATTAAAATATGATTTTCTTCTTGAAAATCCTTAATCCACAAACTACTAGTACCTCTTTTATTTGATTAGGATCTTGAATAAAATCATTATATGTGATGGTATTGTCCCTCATCTTAGACAATTAATTTTTGGCATGTTTCATGTGCTGTGAATTATATTAGGTCTTTTGTGTTGAAATTAGATGGACGCAATCTTGTAATTCCTCTCTTTTGTATTTGTTCTCTGGATGCATCTGGGACTGTGTCTTTTGTGTTTTCTTTAGTTTTTTGTTAATACTTTTGTGTCGGTTAGATGCATTTTTCAAGTGAGCATTATCTTGGATTTGTTACGAACGGTTGTCTCATATTATAACCAAAAAACCATAATTGCAGGTCATTTAATGGAAAAGATCGAAGCCGAAAATTTGCTGCATAGAGCTTTCAGTGTATTTCTATTTAACTCAAAATATGAATTGCTTCTTCAGGTATGTGCATTAAAAAACTCTAAAGCAGTTAATGGTTGTGAAATCCTCCTTTTGATTCTTTCCCTTTCAACTTTCGCCAAGTGAATGAGTTACTGTCAAAATGGTTAGTAACAACATATTGCTTAGAGTAAAGTAGTGGGTATTGCTTAGCGTTATATGATATCGTCTCCATATATTGATATTGCTGGTAAAAGTAAATTGCTGATATTTTTTTTCCTGAAGTTTGACAAATTGTTTCTGAAATGGCTGGTAGATGTAACTCGTTGAATGGCCTTTTGTTTTGTAGGGTTAAATGATAGGAGTGTCAGTTCGATTCCGTCTTAGTATTTAGATGACCTAGCAAACTAATTGACTAAGCTCTAGAACTGTTTTATGTTAATATATCTTAGATTTGATGATCTTTACAAGGTAGGGGTAAGGTCCGCGTACATACTACCCTCCCCAACCCCCACTTATGGGATTACACCTGTTTTTTTTTTGTTTTTTGTTGTTTTTGTTGTTGTTGTTGTTGTTTTCTTAGATTTGATGCATATTTTATGACTCTGAGATTGAAGCACTTAATATATTGTCATATTCTATATACAGCAACGATCAGCAACAAAGGTAACCTTTCCTTTGGTATGGACTAACACCTGCTGCAGCCATCCACTCTACCGAGACTCTGAGCTCATTGAGGAGAATGCTCTTGGTATTTTTTCTGCTTAGCTGAAGTGTTTAATTATGATCACATTTTCTTCTTCACCTCACTCTTTATTGTCAACTGCCAGGGGTAAGAAATGCTGCACAAAGGAAGCTTCTTGACGAATTGGGCATTCCTGCTGAAGATGTCCCAGTTGACCAGTTCACCCCATTGGGTCGTATACTTTATAAAGCTCCATCCGATGGAAAGTGGGGAGAACATGAACGTAATAACTCAATCTTCGTTATTTTTATCTTGCAGTTCTAGCCTGGAAACTGGTTCGGTTTGTTTCTTGCAATTTTGATTATAACAGACATGTGCTGCTTACCTTTGATCTCATTCACAGCTTTGACTGTCTTGAGATTAAGTGTTTACTGTACAATTAGCATTTGTATTTGCGTAGATAGAGTTATAACTGGTAGCTGATCCTTGTCTACTGTTGCAGTTGATTATCTTCTATTCACCGTTCGTGAAGTTAACATGAAACCAAACCCAGATGAAGTTGCTGATGTTAAATACGTGAACCGAGAACAACTGAAAGAGCTTTTGAGGAAAGCAGATGCTGGTGAGGGAGGTCTGAAGCTATCCCCTTGGTTCAGACTTGTCGTTGACAACTTCTTGTTCAAGTGGTGGGATCATCTTGAGAAGGGAACTCTCGAGGAAGTCATTGATATGAAAACCATCCACAAATTGACTTAAAAGGAGCTGCCTTACGATCTGGTTGTACCATCGTAGTTCTGTCCCTACAAACCAATAACTTCAGTTGTGATTTTCTGAAGGCATATTTCTGCATTATGTTGTTGCTTTTGTAGAATTTGAAGGAGTTATTTTTTTGACTGATTGTACCTTGTAACATAGCTGTGGCTTTCTGTCGAGACTCAATAAGATAGCTTCTTGTTTGGTGCTTTGCAACTTTTAATATTAAACCGGAATTGGTGTCCGTTGCTTTTCTGCGAATATGTTATGGGTATAGAACACATCCCTCGGGAAGACAGTTTTTAAAAGCGACAGAAATTTTGAGATCTTTCGTATACTTACGTACCAATAAATATTGCGGAGGAAAATGTTTTTAAGTCATTCAAATTATACAAGAGATAAAGTAAGCGTCTGCATCTCTGAGTGTACAATTAGTTCAGCACAATAGTCCTGATTGAGTCCAAAATTGACCTTGTTAACTTAAATCTATAAGAAGAACTTTTGACTGTCGAACAGAACAGATCCAGGTATGTATGCTAAAGCCTAAACAACTACTTAAACAGCACTCTCTCTTGTAACTAATGCTATAAAGAGCAGTCTATCCTCGAGTTTCACTTCTAAAAATCTTCAACTCCTGGCATATTACTCGCTTGACTCAGCTGTATCCTCCCTAGTCACAGAAATGCTTGATGCAGAATCATCCGCGAACTCTGGCGAGACACTCTGTTGAAGCATTGCCTTCCTCTTTCTTCTGCTCTGCCGCCATCTTCTTACCGACTCCGACACATCACTTTCTTCTCGAGCTTTCTCTTGTGGTTCTTCTGATGCTTCCACTGTTAAACTCTCATCAACGCGTGTCCTAAAGCTTGTTGCGATCACTGGAAATACGAGCGGTCTGCACCAGTTGAGTAGAATTATGAGCAGTGTAACATACATATACATAGAGGTCCAGACGGAGAATGTCCATTTCCACTTGTATGCCAAGTCTTTATACCAAGGAGGATGAGACTTCAATATGATCTCCGATTGATAAAGCTGCGGCAGGGCTAGCGTTCCAGCTCGAGGTATCATAGTTATTTTGATTGCCTCTGTTCTTGGAATACCTTCCTTATGCTTTAACATTGGAATGATCATCCTTTGTGTTTCAGCTGTAAGTCCAAGTACTAGGGGCACACTCATAATAAATTCTCGCATGAGACGGATTGGCAGGCTTCTGAATCGCAACATACATGGATGACTTGATCTTGCCATTATGATCCCCTCGGCTGATAACGCTTCTGCAACCAACTGATTAGAGAGTTATGAATACCTAAAGAATGGTGGATGTTCAATAGCTCTTTTGTTCTTTAGCAAGAGAGACAGGCAACTGAGACTTCCACATCTAATGTTAATGAAAATACAGAGTTGAAGCATTTTACAGATAATAAACATCGGAATAACTTAATTACGCGTATATGGCCTTAATACATGCCCCTAGAAGAGGAATTTAATCTTGTTAGGAATTTAACTGAATTCACTTGGCTATTGCTATTGGGAAAACGTACTCCCGATAGTATATAATTGTCTTTCACTGTTAGTGTAAGTTAACATGTGATGTGATAACAAGTTGATTATCCTTTTCACCGGGTTATCAATTATTGCCTATCATAGGAAATTTACTATTGTTAACACTGTCAATAGACTCATTGCTATTAACATAAATAAAGCTAACCAAAAATTGATGCGCATCAAGCACCTAACAATGTCCAATCACTTTGACTCCACATCCTCTAATAGAAGAGTATTTAAAAGAACAGTTAATACACTCAAGGCCTCCCTGTAATAATATCGCTATATAATAACTATTCACTAAAACAACCAAGTATTTTATGGTACTAATTTTATAATAGATGTTCTCTATAACATCACCTTGCTATAACAAGGAAAAAATCCTGAGTTTGTTACAAAGAGGTTTGACTGAATAAAGTTTCTAAATTGGACATTGATCCCTAATTTCCTTCCTATAACCAACAAAAGATAATTCATCCCCCACAACACACACACACATACCAAATGATGCAAGTCTAGTGACTCTCAATACATTGGAACCATCTTTAGTTCATCATCAAGAAACTACACATGTTTGTTTGATAGGCTATTAAGTAATATCAAGTTTGTATCCTACTCACAAATCGACTGAATGTTCATCCAATATTATACCTGGAAAACACCAATATCTCTGTTGAAATCAGATTCAGGCATCAGTAGAAACAAAGAAACATACATTGTATGCCCAACTGGCACACCAAAATTCTTCTTCTGCTTCAACATCATAAAATTATGGTTATAATTCTCCAGACCATATTCAGCAAAAGAAAAAACAGCCTTAGGATAAACATCTGCATAATCAAAATACAGCTTCTCTCTCAATACCACAGGCTCTTCCGCCCACATTCTCACTAACCCAAATCCCAGAACCCCCGACAAAATCAACAACGTTGTCAAAACCATTCCAACATAAGCAGCTCCAAGAATTCCAACACCAAATTTCTTGAGCAGTAAAGTACTTCCATGTACTACTTTTGAAGGTACTGTAGCAGCAGCATTTACAGCTACAGCTACGTTCTTTTCGGTTTCTTCAGGGCGGAGGAAGTTGAAGTCAGATACAAAAGAGAGGATATAGAAAATGGGGGAAACTAAGATAGTGGTGAAGATCTCTACTTGTAAAGATATCATTTTTGTGAACCAACTTATTGAAGATGAGTTTTGGACTGGTAAATTGTTCTTGATTTCATCATCAACATATTCTTCTTCTTCCTCAAGTTCATCTTTTTCCTCCATGGAAATGAAAAGATCAGTGGCTGTGACTAATTGTTGATACTAATGGAAATTTCCCTAATTGGTATGCATTACCAATGTCGCATTTCTTCATTTGGGATTTGGCATTTTACTTAAGGAGGTGAGTGACACAGATTTTGTGGAACAAGTCCAGGTGTGAAGTGCACAAGGAAGAAGGTGAGAGAAGTGGCAGCAAGCTTAGCTCAGGAGTTGACAAGTGTTACGGAAACAAACGCTTGTTTTTTTATGGGAAGATGAAATAATATTTGGAATTTAAGGAAAAGGAAAGGAGAAATTCAAAACTTTCTCATGAAAAAAGGAAAATGACTGCATTTGGTTAAAAAGTTATTTGAAAATTAAATAGGACCAAGATTATCACTAACAAATTTCAATTATCATATATATATA